AGATTGAGAGGCCTCTAACTAATTTATTTTCGTTTCCTTTCAGTAACTCGGTTTTGTTGGCCTTTTGTGAAGCGGCGGCAACGCCCTCAGAAGTTTTCTTTTTGATTTTTTTGTGTAATATATATATTTTATATTTTTTTTGGGCTAGTGTCGGGCCAACAAATTGTCGTTGGGACAATTGAATGGAAGAATCAGCATTAGATTTACGGGAATTATTTGGAATTTGACCGATGACAGGACGCTAACTAGGCTAATGTGAATGGAATTGTTTGAAAAGGAGCTGGAATGTTTTGGGTATTCTATGGTCTGAATGGTTTTATTTGGAATCAATTCGATAGAGGCAAGTGTCGGTACAAAAAATTAAATTTTTGGAGTTGTACTTAATTCATTTTTATTTATATAATATCATAATAATCATAATAACACACAGAAAAAGTATTCCCCAAGAAATCCCTTTACATTTTGATCTTTGCTGGTATTCTAAGCATTTGAATCAATTTGTCATCTCAACTATACCCAGCAGCAGGATTTTCTTTGTCTAATTTTCCTCGTTTTCCCCCTCATTTTCACTCTCTATTTTTGACTTGAAAATCCCCCCATTTTCCCCTACCCAACCCCATCGCCCTTTTGTCATTGAGAAATGGCCAGTCATCTGGTTATCCGGAAAAGGCTTTAAGCATTTGCTGATTTATGGAAGGCGGAGAAAATTCGGCTTACCAGGTATATGGCAAGTGCTATTAATGAGCCACCACCACCCACTCCCCACCCACTCCTAGGCATTTCCCATCCCCGCTTTTCAGATGCTTTCCCGCTTTTGTCTCTCAGGTTGTCACTTTGCATAAAGAAACAATTAAAAAATTGCCAAAAAGCCAAAACGTCTTTTTTGGGGGTAGCCGCACAAAGAGAGAGACCGATGGATGCTGGGTGAAAGAGATGGTACACTGAGAGGAAAAATAAATTAATACTGTAATTAAGAGAATATAGAAATTAAAGAATAAGTAATTAACTTAAATCATTTCCATTTGCAAATTGTTTTAAACTTATGTATAAGTTTTTAGGAAGCATCTAAATAAACTTTATAATAATAAGAATAGAATTTTAATTGTTTATAAATTTTGCATTTAAATACTTGCAAAAATGATATAAAAATAAGTTTTGTAATTATAATAAAAGATTAATATCTTGTTACCGATCTTATATACTTATTAAGGACATATAATGAAGGAAAAACCTTAAAATATTTTAAAGAGAAGCATTTAAAAAACTGTTTGGTAAAAAGCACAAATAAAATGTAATATGTATACAAACTATTAATTTAAATGTAAAATATGTTACATAAAAATAACTTCAAGAATTTAAAAACTACATTTATATGGCTACTTTTTTAAATTTATGATGAATTGAAAAATGATTTGCAAACCTTAGTTGAACGCATCTAAATAACTCTTTACCAAAGAAATTATCATTTAAATAATGTTAGAATATAATGATAAATTGAAATGTAAATTGTTGTGTTAAATGTAAAAAAGTCCAATAATATTACAAAGCTTATTTAATGTTAACGCCAATTTTTTTCTTAATAATTATTTGTATTTTAAAATGGGTTAATGAAGGTAAAATCTGACTATCTATTTATTAATGAGTATATATCTATATTTCTATGCAACTTATTTATATATAAATATATAAAAAGCATAAGTGGCATTCACAATAATTTATCTATGTTTAACTATAATATTTAAGAAAGTATTCTTGGTTTTTAGAATATTTTTAAGATACAAACAATGACTAACAGAGAATTTTCATCTATAAAGTCATAACAAATTCATAACTAACTTATTATTAGGTATATTAAAAATATCTAGACTATTTAAAATTATGTTATATTCATTTCTTCTGAATTTTATATATATATTAATGTATATATTTTTTATTTTTAGATTTTCTCTTTGCGTGTAATCAAAACCAGGACGAGATGGGCGTCGTTTTAAGTACACCCGCTGGTGGCATTTGGGAGGCGCAAAAGCGCGAAACTCATTAACTTGTGTCAAAAGCAGAAGAGGCCGCAGCCCCCCACACTTTTCCCCAGTTACTTGCAGCTGCCTTTCCTTTCCTCCCAGGTCCTTAGCAACCCCCGGAGAAAGTGAGAAAATTATCATTATCACCCCGAAGGCCGCCCACTATTGTTAAGCTTAATTAACAAGCGCGAAGAGAGAAGCAGAAGGCAGGAAGCCAGGACGAAGGACGAAGGACTTGGGACGCTGGTAAATCCCATGTTGGGGCGGTGTAAACGCAAAGTACTAATCATGAAAATTAAAAATAATTAAAACTTTTCTTTCAATTTAGCTCCTGGGCCATAAAACGCTGATGGAGTACGAGGAAAAACGGTCGGCCTGGGAGGATGGCACAGGATGTCGGGTAAATGGCCGTCGCGGTTAAATGGCGCTTCAGCGATTTCCATCACAATTTACGCCTCGAAAAAGGTTTAACCCCTTAAGACACAAAGTCGTAAATTATCATAAATAAGAACAAGGAGAGATGCTGAAGTCTAAAGGAGTGAGAAATGGTTGGATTCGAGGACATTACAATGGAAAGGAGAAGCTTGAAGAAGCTGCTGCGGTTCTTTGTTAATTGAATTTAATCAAAATATATATTTTGAAGTCCCTGACTTTTTTTTAATCCTGAAGAAAAGTCAAGGGAAAACGTATATAAGAAGTATATAAATAGATCATAATTAGTATAGATTATATTATCAATTGATGTATTTATGTATTCATTTATCAAGTTTAAATAGTTCATAATTGTTATAGATAACATGGTAATTTTATTTAGGGGCTAAAAGTAATTTTCTCCAAGTGGGTTTAATTTTCTTTTTCTTTTAATGTTCACTTAATCCTTGTATCCTTTTCCAAGGACATCAATACGCCCATTGAAAATGCCAATTACTTGCCAATTACTTGCAGAAATGTTGCGGTTCTTTGTTAATTGAATTTTATTAAAATATATATTTTGTAGTCCCTGACCTTTTTTTAATCCTGAAGAAGAGTCAAGGAAAAATTTTTATAAATATTAAATAAGAAGTTTGTAGTTATTATAGATTATTTAATATATTAATTAAGCAAGGTTAAATTGTTCATAAATATTATAGATAACATTGTAATTAAATTTAAGAGCTTACAGTATTTTCCTTTTAGTTGGTTTTAGTTCCCTTTGCTATATTATCGCTTCTGGTGTTTACATAACCCTTGTATCCTTTTCCCAGGACTCCGATTCGGCCCAGGGGGCCTTGTTATTTTTCCACTTGTGGCCACCTTAGACATTAACAAAATCCCTAGGTCATGCCCAGGAGCTCTTCTGATCTTTTGCCGAAGTCCTTGGATCCTGAATGAATGCCAAAGGTTCATTGATGGGAACCAATGTCACTGGTAATCGGCTCTTAATCGGCTGAGTAATCAATCCTCCTACTATATATACATCTTGTTTGTTTGGATTTTCCATTCTTTGGGCGCAACTTGATGTCGGAGACATTGCCACAGGTTGTTGGGATTACGAATTTTCCCATGTCCTTTTTGCCGCCGTTATCGCAGCTGAGCCGCTTGCGCACGGTTAGCTGCATTGTCCTTTTTTTTGCTCGTCCTTTCCCAAATATATATGTATATATATGCAAGATGATGCATTAGGCACTTCCGAGTCGATGTCGTGGGTTAAGCCGCTTAGCCAAAGTGTCCTCTTATTGATCTTTCGGCTCCTTTCCCTCGGTTCGGGGCATTGTCCTTGGCCAGGACACACCGTCGTCTGTGTGTCTCATTCTTTGCCCCCGGCTTCTGTTTGGTTTAATGCATTTTAGCTAAATGCGCTTGACAGATGATCCTCCTCCTCGTCTGGTTGCTTCTTCAGTTTTGGCTCCTTCGGAGTCATCAATGACGACATTCAATCATCTTCCCGCGGTGGTGATCCTTGCGATCCTTGCCTCAAAACAGCTGACAAGGATACCTGCACTTGGCAAAAACAGCTACGTTGTTTATTTATTTATTTTTATTTTTTGTTTGTTTTTGTTTTGAATTTACAAGCAGAAGGTGCTGTGTTTTAGTTAAATGTAAAATAAATATAAATAAAAATATTTATTTATTTATTCAGTTCACTAACAGAAAATCCCCAATATATATTCAATGTTGAAAAACTGCTAAGGTCAAATTTAAATATTTATTTATTATTTATTTATTTATTATTTATTTATTTATTAATAAGTAATTACATACATGATGGCAGCTTCAATTCTAGTCATAAAGTCGTTTGAGAATACCCTAATTAGGTTTTGAAATATCCATAATATCAAAGTCACATTGGCAAATAATCGGATAATTTAGCAGTGCTGTTTAACAGCAGACGGAAAATATATAATATAATTTATTTAGCATATAGTTTAATATAGATCATAGTTTTTACAAAAAATATTCCAATATTTTCTTTAACTCTGCCTAATTTTCGGGTTCTACTTTGTACAACTTAATTGTGCAAAATATTTATAACATTGCTGAAAATGCATTTTACATTCTACAAAATAATTATTAGTATATCATAATTATTACTTCATAAAAAATGTATTAACTTAAAACAAACTTTATTCTTAAAGTATATATAAATTCTAATTAAATAAAAAGAAAAACGAGTTATGTTTATAAGTTCAATTAAAAAATGCATATATTCTCACTAGTAAATATATATTTATTCTCAGCATTTCTTGATTTTGTAGAAGACTAAAGTCTATCCTTTTTAAACAGAAGAAGAATTTATTAATAATACAAATCTATTAATTCAAATTTTAACTATCAAATTTTAGTTTATTTACAAAAATATTCACACTTGTTATATAAATTCCACCTAATCCAAAAATAGCGAAAAAAGCTATATGTAAATCTGGAGAATCCAAAAAAATCCAGCTTCCCGCCAATGTTAACTTTTTTCCCGCAAAAAGCTACATTTGACGCCATCACAGAAACCAGCCATTTTGTCAACTTCTCATTTTCACTTAAATCTCGTCATGGCGTCCCGAAAGAGGAATTCTAGTATTTGTAAGTGCCGACTAAAAAAATCAAATTAATAACCAAATTACAGCAGTGTTTGTCGTACAGGGAAGGACATTAATAATTTTGTCTTGCGCGATAAAAATCAAGACGCTTCCAACGACGACATTGTGCAGGTGCCTTTGGAGGAACGCTCCGAGGTCCCAAAGGGATTTTTCGAGAACTGCATTCCTGGGACCAGTGCGAGCAATGCAATTGTTGGTCGCAAAGAGAATGCACCATGTAGTTGCCACAAATTGAAGTGCAAGCGAGCTAAATTGGAGAAGAAAAAGAAGGGAGAGATTGCGGCCCCATCAGCACCCATGGCCTGCGATAAAGGTACCCAAACGGATGAACCGGAGCTTGTGGAGCTGGAGCAGATGGATCAGGAGACCGTCCCAGTAATGAAGCCTCAAATCTTTTTGGTCTAGAAATGGGACTCAACTTTGTAAGGCATGAAAAATAAAAAAAGCCTGATAAACAAATAAAAGCATGGACGGCGTTGATACCTATATTTATTGTAATGATTGGTCACACTGGCAAAGTACATATGGTCACCAGGGCTGCATTTTCTTTAGGTTTTCCATTGTGAACTTAAATTTAATGCAAATGATTAATTATTTATAATGTACAGCTTATTTTATTTTGTACTATTTTTTATTTTAAGTGCCTCAAAGCAGCAGGAAGCACCGAATCGAGGTAACCAAGTATGGGGTTAATGGTAGCCACCCTCCTCCACTCTCTTTTTGACCAGGGTCCATTGGTAGCTAATTATGTAATTATGTTGTCAAAGGGTTTCGCCTTAGTTTCTATTCGTTTTCTTTTTTCTGTTTTTTATTTTTTGGTCGTGTCAGGCGTCAACCAGTTAAATGTTACAATAACAACAACAACAACAACAACAATAGCAGCAGATAATAATAATAACAATAACAGCCGTAACTTGGCTAATCAATTTGTTGTTGCTTCGTTGCGGTTGACCAAGCCCGTTGGCCACTCACACGGAACCAAACTCTGGGGAGGAGCGGAGTCTTCCGTCTTGGCCTGGGCCATCTTGGGCTTCCTAAGAGCCGCTCTCTCGGACTTGCTTGGTCCGCACCCGAAGCTCACTCGACCATGGCGAGCTCTTGGAATCGAATCGAAGTGCTGGGAGGGGCACAGCAGGGGGCACTTTGGTCCAAATGCTTGCTGCTTAGTGTGACCAGTCTACCGCCCAAAATTGGGTGTGTAAGTGTGTGTGAGTGTGTGCGTGTGTGTGTTTTGAGGTGACCATAAGTGCGGGTTAAGGAGACCATTTTGGGGGAAGTGTTGGTATATTACCAAATGGTGAAACCAGAATGCAATTATTATACATATACGGGAAATTATAATTATGAATGTTGGAATAAATAGTATTAAGTCTGTAAATGGGGTCTTAATTTATTTAGTTTAGATTTTATATATTTCAAAATGTATGTTTATATTTTTATTATTTTGCCCTTTATTTTAAAGATCATGGATGACGGAGTAATGGTTTGTTGGATTTGTATTTTCTTTCTCAAGTTACCTAATCAAGGCTTTTATTTTAATTTAAGACAAATTGTTTTAAGTATTGCTTATTTAGTTTTTTTTTACTATCTCACTACTTTATTACTTACTTGCTTTCTTACTTGCTTAGTTGTTTTCTGAGTTGCTTGATTGCTTTCTTACTTATGATGTATGAAACGAACTATTTAAATTAGACAAAAATAAAAATAAATAGAATAATATATATAATATAATATAAATAATATATGTTGATGAAAATAATAAATAAAAAATAACTACAATAAAATAATATGAATTTATGTGTAGATGAAAAAAATAAATAACATAAAAAATAAAAATACCTCAATAAATATGGTATTAATACATATATAGATGAAGATATATATATATTTGTTTTATAAATTAATAAATTTCTTATGAGTTATAAATTTTGTAAAAGAAAACCAAGAACAATCTTATGATGAATCATTTAATGTAATTTTGAAGACTGCTTGCTATTCCTTGATCAAGATTAAGTGTAAATATAAAGCAATGAGATAAAGTTAATAGCTTATCTTAATTTTATACATATATAAATGTGGTAAATCTTAAAATGTAATAATTTCTGTGATACAAAATCGTGTTCTTTTAGCTCCCTGCCGGAGCTCCCCTTCCCATCCTCCTCCCCCCTTCTATCGTGTCCAGTGATTTTGACCATTAAAATGCTCATTAATATGGTACGGCATGTGATGTTGCTGCTGCTGCTGATGCATTCGGCCCCATTGTTTGCATTCATGTCGCTGCTCGACTGCCGTTGGGTTGCATTTTGACATTTTGACGAAGAGGAAATGTCACGTCACGTCGTGTTTTGCCGCACACCTCCAATTTCCGGTTCAGTGAGCCGCCACCAACCAGCCCGACAGAGTCTCCCCCTCTCTCACCATCACTCACCCACAATTTTCACCCGATTTTCCCTTTTGGAAAAGCAACCAGACGCAAGTCTGTGTGTGTGTAGTTTAAAGCTCCCCCATCTCCTCTTCCTTCATTGCAATCAAAAACTGCACGCACAAAATCATTGCAAATGGTTGGCCAAAAGGGGGATTCCCCATTGAGAAGGCGTTGGTTTTTCCCCTCCTTCGGATTGGTCGTGTTGTGGATGTTCCTGGTTTTTGGGCACATTCCAACATATACTTTGTGGTTGCGAGCTTGTTATTTTTAGTTTGCGCTTAGTGAATTCTCCATGTGAAAGGTTATACCTTGTACTAGGAACAAGATCTGTTAGAAGAAAAGGAATGCCTCAGTACATACTATGGAATTACTTAATATACGAATAATAATATTTTCGATGCCTTAGCCTTGACCATTATTTGTTAAGCTAATTTAAAGTAAAGTCCTAAGTGAAGTGCATAAATTTAAGTTCAATTTCTATTCAGCTGCTGAGAGGAGTTCTTACTAAAAGAGTAGGAAATATTATTCGAAGGGGTTTGTGAATTGTGATTATAAAATATAAAGAAGTCGTTGGGTTACTTAAAAAAAAACTAAATAAGGCGATTAAGAAATGTTCAAGGGATGGCTAAAGCCTCTTCCTGCTATATTTCTGTGATTCGTATTATTAAGTGAAAGGGCGAAGGACAGTCAATTTTTTAATAATTGTTTATATAAGCACTGTATTAAAATTAAATTTTTAAATGTTTAGGTGAGCAAATTCAGGATTTTTACACCTTTTCTGAGAACTTTAATACTCGTATACAATATTTAAGTAAAACAGTTCTTAAATTAATATATTGATTTTTTTAAGTTTATTTCCCATCTTGTTTTTTTTTTAAATTTGTTTTAAGAATACAGATACTTTAAGTTACAACATAGGTTGCTCACATTATAAGAACTTAAGTATTTTAAAATATATTCTTTATTTAAGTTAAAGACTTGTTTAGTACATAGGATATTAAAGGAATAAATCCCTTTATTCAACTTTCCGTAATATTAAATTATAAATAAATTAATTATATACTAACAGCTTCATTATTTTTGTTAAACTCTTAACATAAAACTTCCAGGATTTAAACATTTCAGTTTTCTTTTTTTATACCAAACTGTCTTTGGTTAATCCTATTGAATTTTTCCCCAAAGACTTTTCCCCATTTTCCTTTTTTGGCAGGCAACAAAATGGCGTTCCGCCACCTGGCGGCCGTCTTGTGGAAGCTGCGCATTTTTATTTAAAATGGCGAAAGCTTTGGCGCCATTCGCTTTGGCTTAAAAAGCGAAAGGGTTGCGCCTGGGGGGCGGCAAAAGTTCTTTCTTTCCCATTTTCCGGGTTGAGTCCAAGACCTTCGAGTTTTTTAAGGGGAGCTTGGCTTTCACACCGGGAGCTTAGCTGCGCTGTTTAATTAAATCATTTGCATAGCTTCAAGTTAAATCTTAAATGTATATATTTTATTTATGGAATATATTATTTTATTTTATTATTTAAGTGGAATAAAAAAAAGTATTTTATAAATCCTATACATTTAAATGTTTTTCTTGGTAATTTAAGGTCCTTCTTAATTGTTATATGTAATTTTGGTACTCAATTTAGGAACCAGATGGACTTATGGCAATGGGAAGCTATCAAGGGTCGTTAATAAGTCCAAAGGTCCTTGCAACAGGTGGGTTTGTACCTGCTCTAAGGTTCCTGAATTTCCTTCCATAAATAAGAAATATACAACTAATAATATTAATAACCAAATGTTGCACTCTTCCAACTCTAGATCTACGGATATAATACTTATTTCATATACAGGAAATACACGCAAATTAGTACTCCAAACCTTCAAAGGACCTAGGCCGAAGGGTGTGTGGTCCTGCGTATTTAAATGCATCTGTAGCCGTTGCTGTATCCCTTGTTTGTTGTTGCAGTGTTCAAGTGACAGCCAAGCTGTCTGCCGGTAGCCGCTCTTCCGGCACTTGAGAGGTCCTTGAGATCAACCGGCGGCGGTCAACCGACCAATATATCCCATATATAATATATATCCCACACAACCCACACTTGACCAGGGACAACCCCGAACATGGCAGACAATCTGGCTGCCATCCGATCGGAACTTCGCATATAGAATATCAAACGGCCGACATTCGAAGGATAATTAATGATTTGTTATTTCGGTGCCCCCGGTATCGTTAAATGTTGTGATCGGGGTGGTACAGGGAAATATGATGCCTTTGCTGATTGATGGGCTTGTAGCTTCCGATTTTATTCTTAATGAAATGTTACATTTTCGTATATATTTGTATTTATTATAATTTTTAAACCTCACTGTATTAAAATGACTCCATTAATTTTATTTAGCTGCCAGCTCTAAATTGTATCCTTAATCTTAAGTTTCTCTACTAAGACGGGCATAATTAATGAGCCAGCCACCGGGTTTTCCACCATTTTCCACATGAGTCTGTGTGTGGGTCAAAGTTTTGGAAAGGGGAAAAACTTATTTAAAATAGCATAGATTAAAAGACGAGCATAGTTTGGGCTTAAGCTCGGCTAAACAGATGGGGGAAATTAAAGGAAAAGTGGATGGAGCTAGCCATGTGTGGCGTTGAGTGACAGGCCACCTCAGTTGAGACGGACGGACGCATCGCGTCCTGTCACTTTTGACAAATTATAAACGTCATTGCCGTCGACTTTGACGGGTTTGTTGTTGGTTTTTGTTTTTCCCGGGGTTTTCCCCTTTGACTTTGGCTTTTCCCGTGGCGCCTTTGGTTCCTTTTTTCAAGCCTCAAGCCGTGAGGTTTATTCAACTGATTAATGCAATAGTTTGGCCAGACGTGAAATTAAATTAATTAAAAGTGAAAATGAGAGAGGGAGAATATACATATTAAATAAATATTTGAATAAATAGTTATACTTAATAAAATAATCGACTTTATTTGGGCATTACTTCCATTTTGATCCCCGCAAGCTGCAAAATTGCTGCAATACAAATGTGTTG